CCCCATTCCCACTTTCAGTTTAGTCTGACGACGGGTAAGTGTTACCTGCTGAAAGATGTATGAGTATAACTCGATTTTCCGAAGACCGTCTCACAACATATATTCCTAATTGCAGAGATGAGAGAAGAGTTACACCAGTGACACAAACTGTCAACTTTGGGTAATGCACATCTGCAGAAGTCACCATACAATCGGGGGGGCGAGTTCTGGTGACTAGGTGAACTTAGAAGTGACCGTTGAAACCAGCTGGTTGCCAGCCTGAATGTTTGCATTCACATGATCATCATTGACGGGTCAAAAATCAGTTCAGCGCCGTGGCAGCTAGGATACGATGGATGAAATAAGCCGATTCTTGCATAACCACTGCTTAGTGTGGGTCCAGGTAATCGGTCATTAATGCTCAGTGAGCTCACTCGATTATAAATTTGTGTTAGGATATGACTGGGCTTCAATAAGCCCAAAGGATGTCTCTAAAAATGGTGAAATTCTTTCGACTTTCAACGCTTCGTTAGTGAAGAATTAAAACACTATTCGAAAGGAAGACGACTCGATCGCTGGGCCAATACCTTTATTCGCCAGCCCCATATCTGTTACTGTTTTCTGCTTATGTCCTGATGATGAATCCGTGACGGAGCTTGAAACGTCGGGCAAATAAATTTATTATCTCAGCGTTCCAGTCGTCTTCTTCTAAATTACTTCCTGGGACTCGCATGTTCGCTTGTATTGGCAGTACACACTAGTGGCAAACAAACGACTGTCCGCGTTCATAGCCATGGCAGGTGCCCTCAAAGAAATGGCATAAGTCCGACTAGTCTAAAGATGTTAGCAGTGTAGGGGATATATGTGACATTTGGACCGTAGCGAGTCACGATGTCCGGTGTGCACCCGCAACAAGGGCGGGAGCAGTGATATGGGTTGCATAATGACGATACAAGCCTTGCGATGCATCAACCGTCTTCTCGCTTTCCTCGTTCATCTCAGACCGATATCATCAGACGAGAGTCAAGAATACCTGAAGCAGAGTCAGATGCAGTTGGTAGTAGGGTTAAACGGATCATCTGCTCGTACCATATACGCTTCCTTCTTCCGTGAGTCAACCGCCGCTTTACCTTTTTTCTCCAAAAAGATAACATCTATCGAGCGGCGCTATACCACCTTTAGATAGAAGCTTCTTGTTGTCTATCTCACCGTGGAACACTTCCGGCGGTTGTGCATTGAAGACAGAGAACGCAATCCACTTTCTTTTGCCTTCAAGTAAAATTGTGAAATGTTTAACCCCGAGAGGGATTCGGAAACTGGCCTACATCTCGCATTTCATCGCAGCAATCTTCCAGATTGGCCGTTCGTGAAATCTGGTGGGTGACGCTCAGTTCAGGACTTGCAAGGTCAACCTCATTGTGATGGCAGCTCAACAACACCGTGTCGGTTCGCCATGGGACTGGGATATTTCCATCTGCAGTTCAAGGTGCTCATTCTCCTCACTGTAATTCAGCAGCATTTTGAATGAAGGCTTCTTATATCCCTCTGGGAATGCCTGGTATATCCTGGTGCGATGAAATCATGAGTCGTACATTTCATGGACTAGTACATAGGTGTACTAGGTGTACATAGGGTAATGACCCAGAAATACGCGTAACACGCAGTACTAATGTTTGCCTGTAATACATTGGTTACTTAAATTTAGCGAGTAGCATAATTTTAGCCAACCCAATTCGTCTTGGGATCTTGGTTTTAGGTCAGTGAGTTGGTGTAGAGTAGCATAATTGTTTCGTCCTTGAGAAAAAGTGGAAGTGTCCACACCTCGCCAGACGAAACAAGCCAGGGGTGGTGAACCCTGGACGAGATCGGAGTACACCAATGTGCTAACCTACA